ATGGTCACAACTAGAGACCTTACTCATAAGTGAAATAAATCAGACCTACATGTGCAAGCACCGCATTGTCTCACTAATGTAAAACCTGAAAGAGTTAATAAAACTCGGAGGTGTGATAGACATTGTGAAATGATAGGAAAACGCTCAAGGGTAAAGGGCAACTGGGATGTGGGAAAAGAGAAGGGAAAGAAGGAGAAATTTTGTATGTATATATATACAGGATGATTAACATAGTTGATCTACTGTCTTCTATTTCTTTGCTGAAAGAAACTGTTAGTGAGTCCTTGATTGATCAATATTGCATGTCTCTATTTGTTTTTATGAGAAACCACTTTGAAGGTACCAATATGTAATAGAACAAGCATTGTTAATTTCCTACCACTTTGTTTGTAAATCTGTATTGTTTGTATTGTTCTTTTGCTATTTTAAAAGGTTGTAAAAGGTTGTCTGTCTGTTAATGTTTTCCTCCTTTTATTTTTAAAATAATAAAAAAAAAAGAGTTTCTTTTGGCAGTGCTGGGATCGACCCAGAGCCCTGAGCCAGGCTAGGCAAGTGTTGTACCACTGAGCTGCATCCCAGGCCTCAGGTTCTGGTATCTATAGTGGAATCCCATGGCTTCATCAGAGCTTTCTTTGCTTAAGTGAATAATTCCCAGCCTGCTCTGCACGTTAGAATCCCTTGGGAAACATAAAACAAGCTGAAGGTGAGGCTCCATCCTAGCCCAGTTTACTCCAAACCCTGGGCATCAGATAGCTTTGACAAGCTCTCTGAGTTATTCTCATGTACTCAATAGTACGAAGAATGTACAGCAGTAATCCCCAAACTTCGCTGCACATTCAGACTTTGAAAGTACGGAAGCCCGGCTCCTACCTCTGCACGCCCAGACCTAACTGCTGTGAGGTGTGACTTGTGTTTTCCCAGAAGCTTCCCAGGTGATGCTCATGTGGTGCAAAGTTCAGGTACTGTTGCACTGTGCTGTTTATAATGTCTCATTGTGTTACATTCATTCAGTCCTATAAACACTTAGAGAAGATTGTTTTAGGTGCTGGGAAGATGTCAGGGAATAAACAAGTATAAAATTCTTGCCTTTGTTGGCAGCACATTGTGGAAAGAGACAGTGGTCTAAATAAGTAAACTGAGGTGTCAAACGGTGGGAAAAGCTATGGAGAAAAGTAGAACTGGGATGGAGATGGACAGTGCTGGGTGAAGAGGGTGCAATTTTAAGTAGTTCTCAGGACAGGCCTCACTGAGACGAGATTATGTTTGAATAGTTGTAAGATGAGGAAACCAGTCATGCAGGCCGTGTGAATTCCTCAATATCTCAAGGAAGAAGATTTCCATGTAGAGAAAATGTAGCTGCAGAGTCTTCGAGGGAGGCTCCTCCTGGTGTACCAGACAACACTATGGCTAACGTGAATCCTGAGAGGCGCAGAAGTCAAAAGACTGGGGAGAGGGGCAGCATTTGCGTGGCTTATAGACCACTGTGTGACTAGGTTGTTACTCTGAGCCGTGACTCTTTTGAGGAGTTACGACTTCAGTTACGTTTTGAGAGGCTCACTCTGGCTTCTGTGATAGACTGTTGGGGTCCAGACCAGGAGCAGAGAGACCGCTTAGGTGGCTATTCATTGAAGTGTGCAAATGAGATAACATGGCTCAGGCCAGATAGCAGGCAGCAGAAAATAGAAAACAACAACAACAAAGAATAATCCTGTATTTGAAGGTAGAACCATTAACACTTGCTGACAGACCAAATGTGGAGTGTAACAGACAGACTGCGAAGTTTTAGGCCTGAGTAATTGGAAAATGAAGTCAGATTGTGTCTTGGTTACTTTTCTCTTATTGCTGAGACAAAATACCCAGAGCCCAAAATTAAGGAAGGAAAGGTTTATTTAGCTCATAGTTTGTGGAGATTTCAGCCCATAATCAGCTGGCTCCAGGGAAGAGTGGTGTAACACAGCGGCATAGTTCAAGGCTGCAGAAGACAACAAAAGCAACAAGAGCGAAAAGGGGGAGAACAAGTCTCCTTTCCTCCTTTATGTTGTATGCAGGTCACCCGCCCTCGGATGGGTGTAGCGCTCACACCATCTCTGTCCCCTCCTCTTGCACAGGTTCAGGATGTTTACATAGTAAGGCCCCTGGCCCCTGTAGTCACTTAATTAAACTTCTAAACTTCTCAAGTTAACACAATGAACAATATCCTAGAGGGAAAGGGTATGTCCTCTACGCCCCAGGATGTAGAACTACAGAGTTACTTAGTTAAGCTTCTCGACTGCTCAAGTTGACACAATGTAGCAACCATTACAGATGGGGAAGCCTGTGAGAAGGTGCAGATTTTGCAGGAAAGATAAACCCAGCTGATCATTCATGTTGGGTATGTTTCAGACATGCAAGTGGAGATGTTCAGTTTGTTGTTAAAAATAGGAATATGGAGTTCAGAGAAAGAGGTCCGCACTAGAAGGAAAAATGTGGAATTGTTTAGTACATAGATTAAAGCCTTGAGACTAGCAATCACTAAGGTAGCAAAGCCCAGAAACCTAGCCTGGTCTTTGGATATTACATCGTTAAGAAATACAAGAGCCAGGAGTGGTAGCCCATGCCCATAATTCTAGCTACTTAGGAAGCTGAGGCAGGAGGACCATAAGTTTGAGGCCACTAACTTTGGACAAGTTAGTGACAATGTGTTTCAGAAACACAGGGTGGGGTGCTAGCACTGTGGCCCCAGCTTCGTGGTAGAGCACAGGCCTAGCATGCACTCCAGCATGTGCAAGGCCCTGGGTTCCGGAGAGGAGAGGAGGGGAGGGGAGATAGAAAATAACTCAAGCGCTGAGAAGGAATCAAAAAGAAGGCAGGAAGGTGGAAGGGGAGGATGAAGACTGGGGAATACACAATACTGGAGAAGTATTAACTGCAGCAGATCTTTTAGGTTTCATGATTTACTTTTCTGATTATTTCACATCTATTTCTATCCTGTCCCTTGATGAGCAATACCGGATTTGAAAGAAGGAAGTTAGCAATACGGAGTTTAGAAGGGAAGTGGATAACATGAAGGGAGAAGCTTGTGTGTTTGGGTCCGCTAAGGTGCTGGCATTGTTCTACTTCTTGACCTGGGCGTATTGGTATGGTTGTTTGCTTTGTAATTATTCCTTAAACTGTACTTAGGTGCTTCGTGCTCTTTTTTATGTATTTCTTCTAGTCCTGGAGATTGTGTCCAGAGCCTTTGCACTGAGTTACCTCCCCAGTCCTTTCTTTTTATTTTTATCATTTTATTTTTAAACAGGTCTTGCGACACTAAGTTGTCTAGGATAGGCTCAAAGTTGTGATCCTCCTACCTCAGCCTCCCAGGGTGCTGGCATTCTAGAAGTGCACCACCATGCCTGGTTTATGTATTTTAAATTTAACAAAAAGAGGAAGAAAAGAAAGATATGTTTAGGTAGAAGTTAGCATATTAAAATTGTTGGTTATTGGGCCGGTAGCGTAGCACAGTGGTATGTGCTTGCCTAGTATACATGAAGCCTTGGGTTCAATCCCCAGCCCTGAAAAAAATTATGGGTTACCTTCTCTAAAAGTTTTATTCTGCACATGAAATGTTGTGCAGGTTTATTTTTAGAGAGTCTAATCTCCACAAATGCTTGTATTCTAAAATGTTGTGTTTTTTTGTTTTTCTTTAAGCACTTGTACAATTGGAATCTATTTTAAAGAAAATCATAAAAGAACGAAAAGAAAAGAGCTTCAGTCAACATATTTTCATTGACTCTTTAGTACAGGGAAACCTTAATGACCAACAGGTGATGTAATTGTTAAACATTTATCAAATACAATTAATCCACACGCCCTCCTGGGATTCAGTAGCTTTTCTTTTATTGTACACCATGAGTAGCACCAAGTACTTAGTCTACTTTTACAGTATTTAGCTCTTCGAGGCAGCTGTACATTATTTAATATTTGGGTAAACAGATGTTGAGGCCAAATTCTCTGATCATAAAAGAAAAGGATTTATATAAGTCTTTCTAGACCAAGCCACCTGGTCTCCAAGTGACCTGCCTGGTCATTCCCACAGTGACCGGGTTTGGCAGCTGGGCTTGTTTGCAGTGCTTGTCTGTTACCGCTGGGGCTTCACTGTATTTATGGTGTTATCAGGCCAACGACAGGAATGGAGTCATTTCCCACCCATTCACTGTAGAAACCTTCTGCCTCATTCAGCACATGCAAGTCCTGGTGGCAGAAGTGGTTTTCTGTATTGGGCCAGTAGTGTAGCACAGTGGTTTTCAATACAGAAGTTAATCAGGCTCCAAGGACAGTGCTGGGCTCTTCTCTACTATTCCCAAGGCTTTGTTGCTTCACCAAGCCAAGCCAGAAAAATAGGACTGAACCAGTCTGTCAAAGCGTAGCATGATCCGGTAACATTGCCAACTAAATATTGATTGCATCCAAAAGGTAATATAATGTTTGGGTTGTTTTTTGTATTATTATATTTTCATATTAATCAGGGTAAAGAAATAATAATATACTTTTTCCCCTTTTATTGACCCTGATGTTATTCTCTGGATTATTTTAATAGGACTTAGCATAGACCATCTTAAATTTCATATTTCTAAACTTAGTTTTGTTTCTTAGATCCTGGAAGACAGTATGATATTTTCTCTGGCTGGTTGCATAATAACTGCAAAATGTAAGTATAAATTGAGTTCTTTTTCAGAAGGATTATCAAATATACAAGGGTTAAGTTGTTCTAAAATAAAGGAAGCACTGTCTGCAAGACCTCTTTATAACATCCCTTTCCTGCTTTTTATTCTTGTATAAAAGGATTGATTTACACAGGTGCTTTTTTTTTTTTTCTCACTCCAAGTGCTTGATGCCACCTCTGAAAATTGCCATAAATTTCTTGGCACATTTTTGGATTGTGAATTCTAGTTAGTGCCTTTAAAATGAACTGCTGTTGACACCTTCGCAGCTGAGCATGAGTGTTTCCACTCCCTGCTGCTGCTTTCACTGTGACACAGTCGGCTGTGATTAAGGTCTGCAGTCAAAGAAGTAGGCCACAGAGGTCAGGATTTACAGGAACTCCTCTTGCTGGAATTGAAGGTGATTTTGATTTTGATTTAAATTGTAAAATGTGTGATCTAAGTTCCCTTACTGGTTTTTAGATTAGTAGAATAGCATTCATTCATTCTGTATTGATTAAAATATGTTTATAGGTATAAATAATATTAAAGTACTTACAGGAAGTATTAGGATATCAGCTTAAAATCTAAGGACTGTAGGTTCACTTGAAGGATTTCATTTACAGCTCTTTTTAAGGAACTTTTTTAAAATGCTGAGTAAGGGCCAGGGATATAGCTCAGCGGTATAGTCGCCTGCCTAGCAAGCACAAAGTCCTGAGTTCCATTCCTGGTACCAAAAACAAAGATGAGTACAAATATAAACTTCCAGATATTATAGATTAAATGAGATTTATGTAAGCATGTGTCAGAAATAATGTATTCTACTTTTTAAAATGCTTATATGTTTTAAAAATACATTACATTAAAAACATACCTTTGCTAAAGATCTTCAAAGAATCTGAATCAGTTTTGTGCTCTGAACGTCACAAAAAGTGACCATTTCAAGATATTTTTCGAAGGCAAGATAGGCAGAAAACCTTAATTAAAGTTCTTGCTCTGGTAGTTAGTATTAGCCTTCATCTACACTTTTTGTTTTCTTAAGAGAAATGTTTAGCTCTACTGAGGAAGTGAGAGTGGCACACATTTGTAATCTCAGGTAGTTGGGAGGCTCAGGCAGGAGGACTGCAAGTTTGAGGCCAGTATGGGAGACTCATCAAGATCCTGACTCAAAAAGTTCAAAGAGGGCAGGAGTCTGGGGATGTAGCTCAGCAGTGGAGTGCTTGGGTAGTGCTTGACCCATTCTTATGGTCCTGGGTTCAGTCCCCAGTACTGCCATTAAATTTCCTCAGATTACATTGTTAGGCTGTCCAGTCATATTTTTAATGAGTATATAAAAACAAACAAAATAAAAAAAAAGTGTTTGAGATTATTAAACTTAAATGGTTATATTTATTTAAGTGATAATAGAGTCAAACAGGGTATATTAATGGTTACTTTATGCAACCCTGTGCTGACTTCTTCAGTTGTATATTAGTATATATTGTAAAATTATACTACATATTGTACACTGTACAGGTTTTCATAGTTCTTGCAAAATAGAAATTCTGTGGTCCACTCAAAAGCCATAGGGAAGCCAGGTGTGGTGGTGCACGCCTGTAATCCTAGCACTCAGGAGGCTGAGGCAGGAGGATCATTGCAAGTTTGAGACCAGCCTGGGCTACAAAGTGAGCTCAAGGCCAGCCT